TGGAGAGCAAGTTTCAGAGTCCCTGGGTTGTTAGAAACATTACATTCAACAGAAAACTTGAAGTTTGAGATCACCGGAAACCCACTACTGCCATGGAAGCGATTCAGACTGGGAGCGACCCTGGAGGGCAGAGTAGAGCTGCCCCCATGGGATTTCTGCTGCTGATGGGTCCAAACTGCTGACCTTTCTGCTAGTAGCTGAGCACTTAACCCATTGTGCCTGCCATTCGGGCTCCTTTGTTATTAAGTGGCTTTGAGTCAGTTCCAAGCTGTAGTAACTGTGCAGTGCCCCCACCCCCGCCGTAAATCTTTATGGGAGCAGAAAGCCTCAGGTTTGAACTGCCAACCTTGTGATGAGCAGTCAGTCTAGTGCTTATCCTACAGTGCCACTAGTGCCTTGTGTGTATATGTTGTTCCTGCTAAATCTCATCGACTCAGTACCAACTCATAGCAACCCTGTTTGTGTAGAGTTTCCAGAGCGTGCCTGGTGAGTTTGAACCAGTGGCCTTGCGGTCCAGTGCTTATCCTATAGTGCCATAGCAGGCCTCCTTTAGGTGTCTATAAGGACATGCATATATGACAATACACCCAGTGTGGTACAAGTATGCACCTTTGTGTGTGTTTATTATGACACTGTGTGGATGCACTTACATGTTTGCATGAACATACATTGTTGTTGTTGTTGTTATGTGTCGTGGAGTCTGACCCATAATGACCCTGCACAGGGTTTCTGAGGCTGTAAATCTTTACGGGAGCAGAAAGCCTCATCTGTCTCCTGCGGAATAGCTGGTAGTTTTGAACTGCTGTCCCTGAGGTTCTCAGCCTGACTTGTAACCACTATGCTACCAGAGTTTCTTTGAACATACATAGACCTATGCAAATCCACACACATGTAGTCACCCATACATCTTCTTGTCATGCACTATTATGGAGTGTATTCCGGCATATATCGACCCTACAGGACATAGTAGATGTGCCCTTTATAGGGGCTGCACGACTGTAAATCTTTAGGGAAATAGATCTCCACATCTTTCTTCCATGGAGCTGCTGGTGGGTTCGGACCACTGCCCTTCCGGTTAGCATCCGCGCGTTTCATACCCAGTGTGCCACCATGGCTCCTTTTCAAGTCCACCCGTTAGTGTATAGATAGAAAGGCCTGTGGGTCTCCCCCTCCACACAGGCAGCCACTGAAACCGCTCCTCCCTAAACCCACCACGTCTACCCCGTGCTCCGTGCTGACCCCTGTCCCCTCCCTCCTAGGTGTGGAGAAGCTGATCCATCACCTGCGGAAGCACAACATCCCCTGCGCTGTGGCCACCAGCTCCGGGACTGCGTCCTTCGAAGAGAAGACGCGCCGGCATCGAGACTTCTTTAGCCTCTTCCATCACGTGGTGCTGGGCGACGACCCAGAAGTGAAGAACGGCAAGCCGAGCCCGGACATTTTCCTGACTTGTGCCAAGAGGTTCAACCCCCCGGCCCCTGTCCACCAGGTCAGTGGGGACGGGGCACGGCAGCGGGGTTGGGGGGGTGGTTGGCGCATGGGCGAGGGGCTGTCTTCTCCCTGTGGGGATAGGAGCTCCTGGACTAGAGGAAGCTCACGCCGATTGTCTGCAGGCTTCCCTGCCTAAGTCTGTTTGTCTTGCAAGATCTGTCCTTTGGTCGGAAGCGCTAGGTATGGTTCCTAACTAACCTTAGAGTGTCAGACGTCTGTGTGAGGATACAGCACACAGTGCATTGTGATTTGGGCAAAAGTTTACAGAGCAAGTTAAGTTAGTTTTGCATCCACAGTTCATGGACACTTGAATTTCATGCCGTGGATTGCAGTCGCAACATGTAAGCATGCTCTTCCTGCTTCCTCCCTCTGCCTGCTTTCTGCGCTTGCTCCCTAGGCAACATGCGCCACAACGGGCTGATTATTCCAGGGAGCGTGGTGGACCTCCTGGTGTGATTGTTCACTACCTGGTAGCCCTTTCTGTAGGGTGACAGGACATCAAAGCGCCAGGGTGAGGTCAGCTCCAGGCTTGGAGGGTGCCGTGCCAGTTCCACCAGCCTCTAGCCACCCCGTAAGCCTGGCCTTTTTTAGGATCTTGAGTTTTGTTCCACAGTTTCCTCCCCCTTTAGCTAAGACCCCCTCAGGAGTCCCTGTGAGATCCTGTAGCTCTGGTAGCGGGGACCCATCTAGCTTTTCTGGTCTCTGCGTCTTGTAGGCTGAGGTTCACGGGGTCTCAGTGTGACCCTCAGGCCTAATTGTTTCGGGGTCTGTCATTCTTGTTCTTCACTCTTTGCTCTTAACAGGAAGAAGCACTTGTTTGTATGCACCTCAGGTTTTTAATGTAGTTTGACTAGGGGGCTTGATTCATAACTAAGTGGCACCTGATAACCCTGGGAACCTTCTGGAATGCACAAACACATGTAAGAAAGGCCCCGTCTGAGTCATCTCTGGCTGCTGCATGCAATACATAAACCACGTGGGGTGTGGGTTGGGGTGGGGGACAGCTTTCACAAACATAAATGTCTTCTGTGAAGGTAGTTGAGTTGGTGAGAGGTCTGCATGCTGGGCGCTGGCACTGGTGGAAGGCTGTCTTCCAGTCAGCTGTGGGGGAGGGCCTTTGTCTCTTGTTTCTTGGTCCTTTGGAGATCTTCATGTGACATTTTGTGTCCCTTCCTCAGTTTGTGCTTGCTTGCTTGCTTGCCTAACCTAGTCTTTTCTTAAAAGACATTGATTTAAGGTATACCCTACACTAACAGTGCCACATTAACATAGCAAAGAAAACCCACTCCTGAGTGGAACGACAATCACTGGTATTAAAAACAAAACAAAAACACCAGACACACAGTCCTCAAGTGGGTTCAGAGCCGTAGTCATGCTATCAAACCCCAAGATGAAACCCACACCATTCTAGTGAATTCTGACTCACAGTGACTATGAAGGGCAGAATGAAACTCCGTCTTAGGGTTGGCAAGAGTAAATCCTTATAGGGGCAGACTGCTTCATCTTTCTCCCGAGGAGCAGCTGCGGGTTTGAACCACCAGACTTTTGGTTAGCCGAGCAAGTCTTAACCCCTTTTGCCCCAGGTAGAGATACTTGGATTTACAAAATGCACATATTTAGGGGGACACAATTCAGTCCATAGCTCGTCTGATCCAGTGTGGTAGGGAAGGTGGCAGGTCAGTGAGCAGGGCTACCCCATCATTATTAGCACTTTCAAGAAGCAGAGGTTGCACACATGGTCCCTGTACATGCGCGAATTCATCCCCTTCTGCAGAACAGTGCCGCCAGGACCTGTCCCTGGGGTGTCAAGCTCAGGAAAGTAGAGGAGTGAGACGGGAGCCTGGGACAAATTGGGCTGTACCATGACCGTCAGGGACAGGAAACAAAATGTCGGTCACTTGTTGATGGAAAACTCACGGGCTACTCTGAGCCTTCCCCCAGTTCACAGCTTTAAAAAAGTGAATAAATAATTTAAAAAGTAAAATGGAGCTATAGTTTAATGCTTAAAAGTCCTTCCAGATGAGCTCCCAGGCTTCCTTGAAACCCAGCCCCAGTGAACCTTCTTGCCAGGTGAAGACTTGCCCGAGCTCCTGGCAGGGGACAGGCGAGGGATTAGGAGATGGGACAGCTTCTTGACCAAGTCTTTCCGGAGCGTGACGTTTCCAAGAGCCCATCAGTGAAAACAGACACAGGACACAGCCCTCCTAGGAACCGACTGGAGTTGATGAGTTAGTGCTTTCGATGGCCCCCTCAGACTAGGGCCCAGATCTCAGTTTCTTTTCACTTTTCACTGGTCACCATGGCTAACGTGTGGATTGTGCTAAGCCCCTTGCTAAGTGCTAACTAATTGACATCCGACTTCATGTACGGCCCTCAGTCATTCACAAGCTTAGGGGGTTTTCAGCACCGCTGTCACTGCAGGGGTTGGCGGACCTATCTCGTGGAATATTTGACTTGGCCAGTGCTTCTGTTCCCCATTTGGCAGTTCATCGCACCAGCTGTGTGTGGTAGGTGAGTCCAGCAGTGGTTACAAGTGTGTGATGTGGACTGATCTCAATAAAACCCAACCTCCCCATGCCTTCATACATCGAAGAAGTTGTTCACGAAGCTAGCAGTCAAACCGAGACAGTGAGCATTAAGCTGCGGATTTGGCCCAGTTTTGCTTGCAAGTGTACATGATGACAAAAGTAGGGTGTCACATTAAAAACTAAACCAAACCAAAAACCAGTGACATCACTCGTAGCAACCTTGTGGGACTGGGTTGAGGGTGTCCATACACATGGTTTACCAGGCTGTCATCATTAGGGAAGCAAACGGCCACAGCTTTCTTCCATGGAGCATCTGGTGGGGTCAAACTGCCACCCCCAGAGCTCCTGGACAATGGCTAATCCCCTGCCATTGGCTTGATTCCCACTCATATGCACCTGCTAAATCTCTCTAGGACTGCCCCTAGGGTTTCCCAGACTCTCATCTTGACAGTAGACTCACTGCCCCATCTTTGTCCAGCTGCTGAGTTTAGATCACCAAATCTTAACAGTCAGCAACCCAGCACTTAACCCCCTGAGCCAACAGGGCTCCTTTATACTGTTGGTGTGAAGTGCTGTCGAGTCAGTTCCGATCCATAGCTACTCTGTATAGTTTTTCTGAGGCGCACCTGGTGAGCATGAACCGCTGACCTTGAGGTTCAAACCGACTTTGCAGTCCAGCACGTTAACCCACAGCGCCACACCAGAAATCCACTGCTGTTAGGCACTGCCAAGTTGGTTCAAACTCCGCGAGACCTTATGAACAGCCGAAGGAAACACTCCACTTTATGTTGGTTGCTTGGTTGGTTATGTGCTGTGTAGTTGGTTCCAACTCATAACCACCGTGCGTATGGTTTCCAAGGCTATAAACCTTTATGGGAACAGAGAGCCTCATTTTTCTTCTGTGGAACGACTGGTAGTTTTAAACTGCTGATCTTGAGATTAGGAGCCCGACTCAACAACACTACGCTATCAGAGCTCCTTCCACTTTATGCTAGGAACAAATAACTGGGAAAAGGAATTGTTAAATAAAAATCTGTTACGGTAGCTTCAGGAAGCATTGGAAACTGGACGCATAATTAACAAAATGGGAAACTTGTCAACTGAAATCAACAAAGCATGCTTGCATTCCTCATGGCTCAGTAGATCCAAGTGGGAGCGAGGGAGCCTTTTATTAGTAATACCGGGAACTTGAGAGAGTCCAAAACCTTATTTATAACTCCAGCCAGAGGAACTTCCATTTAGGTAATATTATTAATCCGAATCAGAAGACTTGTGTACATAGAATGAGAAGGGAATCTCTAGCACAAATCAAAGGTGTGTACTGTTTCTAATACCCAGAGAGATCTTGTACATTAAAAAGGGAAAGATAAGACAAAAATGGGCCAAGAATACAAACATGGAACGCATAATCTGCCCAGTGACCCTATGAAAGGCTGCTTTTTCTCACTCCCAAGAAAATGAACATTACAAAAAAAAAAAAAAAATTCTTATCCATCAGCCACGTAAAGACAAAACTGAAAACACACACTTCCAGTGTGTTTGTGAGGACACTCCATGGTGTTGGCAGAAGCTATGGGGTGGATTGGAGATCTCTGTAGGATTACAAAATGCCTGTTATTCTCCTTCCACTTGACTTCCAGGCAACTCAGCTATTGAAGGCTTCCCCGGGCTTGCAAATGGTTAATACACCGAGGCCCTTGAAGCACAGTGGGTTACTGAGCACAAGGTTAGCTGTTTGAATCTACCAGCCAGTCACTCAGAAGGAGGAAGATGAGACGTACAGCCTCGCAAGTGCCTCAGTGGCACGCCACCAGACCAGATGGCCTCGGTTTCCCAGTCACTGCTGCAAACACAACCAGAAATTTTTGTCTTTCACAGTGCAGGGGGCTCGAAGGTCAAATTCGGGGCACCATCCCTAGGGTCAGGTTTTCTGCCTCTCTGTGAACTCTGGGGGAAGGTCCTTGTTGCCTTTCCAGATCTGTAGGATTTTCCAGGTGTCTGACAGCAGTCAGCCCCAAGGTCTAGGAGGTTCTGAGTGCAGGGGCTCTTCTCTCTAGGACTGAGTTCTGAGTTCCCACACTTCTCTGTTTGCTTTTCTCGCCCGTATTTCCTTTAAGATAAAAGGTGTGTGATTCAAGCAAGGTGTGATTGGTTTAAGGGTGGGACTTGAATGCCTGTGGCATTTGAGTAGGGGGCGAGGCCTGAGCAGAGGGCGGGGCTTGAGCAGAGTGTGGGACTTGAGTGGGGTGGGCCTTGAGTAGAGGTGGGACTTGAGTGGGGGTGGAGCTTGGGTTACCAGCTCTAGTATGGTGTGATCCTGTACACAGCCCCCACTAACCCTGCTTCATTAACATACAAGAGGACTTCAAGAAGTTGGTGGAACTTGAAAGGCAACCTAAGTGTGGTCTAGCTTCCTTACTGTGCTGCATATTCCCCCAGATTCCCATAGCAGTTTGAAAGACATCCTTCC